GCCCTCACTGGCAATGAAAGAGGACTCAGGTTGCCATTAGTCCCAGCAGTAAATCTAGAGTAGCACTTCAAATCAGGCATCATGGGTCCAATTTTGTCAAGGTTAGAACTCCACTGSAGCAAATTCCAGAGGTAAAGGAGGGRTCACAATTCACCCCATTATGTTTTACATTCTTTAATTCTTTACATTCTTTAGGACTGGAAGAATAATAGAAACATAGGGCAAGACTCTCTAAGCTTCTCTGAATTACCAGGGACCATCTCCACATGGAAAAATAACAAACAGCAATGGCTTTGAATACAGATAAATGCAGAAAACAGCTCATGTGGYKTAGCAATTCCCTGTMGCTCACATATCTGAGCTTTCAGATRCAAAATWAAAYRATTAAAATATGTCTAAAAGCAAAGTATTTTGTGCCTTCATATGCCAGTAGGACTGTGAAGCACAGACACAATATTTAAGAAAAATATTTTAAATTCAAATTAAAATATATTCATATTTTTAATAAATATATTTCACTAGTGAATATCACATGTATTTTCTGTAGGGGAAAATGCTGATTTGTGCAGTTCTAACTACACTGAATGAAATAAGTATTTTCTGAAGCTTTCTCMTGCTAGGATGAATGGAAATGCTTCCCAATAATTTATTGGGATTTGAGACTGGAMAAGAAAAGATTCAGATCTTCAGCACCCTCACCAGATTCAACATGTATTGAAATGTATGAATGTATTTTAATATTTTATTTTTATTTAGCTATAAAGAATACTTTGTTGTACTCAGTATAGAAGTGACATGACAAATGGAACTGAATGTTAGATTTAATTGAGTCCTCTCTTCTTGAGACAAGAAAAATGTGCCTCAGGGATTTTTCACTAACATTTCATCCTTCAGAAGTTTTGGTACRTTGGGTCTTGAGTTGTTAGTCCTCACTCTTTTCTGACTAATATATCTCATTAACTGCATTTTTCCCTTAACTTAATAAACATTTTCCTAATTTCACCCCCTTTCCCCAGTTATATCAGCCCAGTTATTACTATTCATACTGTTAATATCATGTTTTATACATAAATGTGTGTTTGTGTGATTTGTCAGCATTATAGAAAAGTGAACTTTAGAAACTTACTGGCAGAAGCATCCCAAAATTTTACTGATCCATCTGCATGGCTTAAAAAAAATACAAAAATTAAATGTGTTAAAACAAGATRCAATTCTAAAACATCATCTACTCTCAGTGATTAATAAATAGAAAAAAAATGTTTATTTAGCTGTCTATAATTTTCTGACTATATATTAAAGATATGCATACTAACTATAAGAAACTTTTGTTACTAGTTTGATTTGTGAATATTTTTCATGCATTTCCTGCAGACAGCTAAGCCCCCAATGATTTTTAAAACTGCAAAAAGAAGAAATTACTTCCCATACTAATAAAGAGCTTAAGTTACAGCACTTTTTGCTTTGCAGTGAGCCAGCATCAAGACTATTCACTCTCAAAATGCCATGTATAGTGAATTTTGAAAGGATAGAAGGTAAATTCATTTTGCTTGATACTTTACAATTCTCTTYTATGGCAGAAGAGAATTTTTGGGGTGACACTGCTCAAATGAAAAGCCAGGAAATGCRTGTGAARTCTCAACTCTTATCTMTGCCTAACCCACAATCAAAAGGAGWARACACAAATACTTTAAAAGTKCCAATCYCCAGTTTCATTCTCACCCTGTAATAATGATTTCAGGATATGTCTGAGCTCCCAGGTTCCATGCTCCACCACTGATAGGCCACTCCTAAACAAACAAGAGCACAGAGATCACAACTTATTCTGATGAACCTTGCTTGGTTATTTTTTTATATTCAGGAGTAGACAACATCTTTAGATAGACAACAACCAGGCAGCTCCAAGGAGAATACTTCTGTTGATTTGAATAAAAAACTGATGACATCTGACTTTTTTTTCAATTTCCAATTGAAATCTATTAATTAATTGCATTTCTTCTTTTATTTTCTGCAGCTTGTCCTACTTCTAAAGCATTATGGTAAGACTTTGATAGCTCAGTAAAATAATTATTAATATTCAACTGAATAACAAATCTCACAGACTCTCACTGAACCTCTTCTGCTTAAGTCTTTCACTTGYAATGTTTTCACTTTTTTCTTTGATAGAGATAACCTATCCATACAAATTTGAATTTGATGGCTCTCCTTTAACTCAATCCGATCTGCAATAATTCCAGCATTTTAATTATTAAGTCCTATATAATATTAATTAATGGTTCTGCTTAAGTGTTAGTGTTTCTGAAGGACAAATACCAGCCTGTAATCAGGCTGCTAAGCTGCTGGTTGGACTAACCTTARAGTGATTATTAAATGATAATAATCAACAAAACAAAAATAATTTGGTAAGTAAGATGTTACAAAAACATAGGTTATACATCTACTTATTTTACTTTAAAAAAATATATTGCTTTTATTTACCTTATTGCTGTATCCTTGCTTTTTATGTTTTGCTCCTACAGAATAGAGTACAGGGATCAAATCTGGAGGACAGTCCGCAAAATATTCTGTGCAGGTAACAGGTGACTCATGAATGTCAATAGGATATGGATTTTCAAAGATTGGAAAACTAGTTAAGGAAGACAATTTATTAGAAGCACTGTGACACACTGATYCATAGAATAAAACATATAGTAAAGTGTATAACAGAATCTAAATAAAACCATTACTGATTAAATACATTTTCCCTTATTTATTCAAACATGTATTGTTTTAAATATCAATAATAATATGTTACCCAAATAAAGATATAAAAATTCCACTGAATGAGGATTAAAAGGTAATTTCTTCCAACATGTCAAAATCTTATTTACACAGAAGTGACACATTTTCAGAAATTTCATGGATATGATATATACTATGATCTATAAACTACTTTTACAAGTGTGGATTTTATAGTGACATTTTAGCTTATTTGGTTGGTAGACTACTGATTCTACAATGAAAAACTGCAATAACAGATGAGTAGATCTCAGTTTGTTTCTCACTTCCATCAATTTAACAGCCTGATAAGGAGGAAAACCTCACTTCTGACACATTATACAGTGTTATTCACAATTGAAAAATATAGGAAATTTGGGGCTGATTTCAGTTATGGCCATTTTACACTGCTGACATGATCTGAATTATTCTTTAAAGTGAGTGAAATCCGAATATGATTTAYTTAACATTTTTCAATACACTGACAGCAAAAGCTGTTCCCAGTTATGTGAATGTAGATGCACATTACTGGTTGTGTTGGAGGCAGAACAAAAAAAAAAATAAGAATTGGGTTATGCCTTACATGATGTATAGTTCCTCTTTGATAGGAACATTGATTCTGATATGAAAGAACTGTTTGTCATTTAAACCAGCAASTGGATCATCAAGTAATTCTGGAGATCCATAGAAAACAATGCCACTATTTATTAAAATAATAATCTTACATAAATATATAAATAATATCTTATTTATTAAGATAATGAAGCTAGACATGCATAAAATTAGTAGTTGAATCCCATTTCCAAAACACATGTTTAGGTCACAATTCAGCATGTGACCAAGTATTGCTTAACTTTGGTGTTGAATGAATATTTGAGGGCTATGCTGAAGGGACTACAGATTTAGATTTGCTCCAAAGTTTAAGAACAAATAAAATCATAAGTCACTGTTCATTAGATGATCTTAGCTCTTGAAGTGGAAGTAAATATTTAGCAGGAGTTATTTCCAATAGTGAAAGATTTTGGATTGTTAAATGATATTGCATGATAACGTTTGGAATTTTATGATAATTTACTGGACACTTAAATACACAAATAGCTTCACATAAAACTTTATACTTACTTGCTTTGTGTCAGATCAACAACAATGAGATCTTTTTCCAAAAGCACAACCACAGCATAGGGTTCTTGAAATTCTGTAAGTAAGGAATCGAGTATAAAAGCTTTGAGGTATAAACCCTTGATATATGCACAAACCAGACTTTTATTTATCAAAACTAAAGAATTAAAATGAAAAAAAATTGCTTCATTTGATGCATAGAGTATATCAGTTTACATAGAGTAAGTTATTTAAAATATATAAATGTGAAATTAGAACTCTCTATTCAACAGCAAATTATTTCAGCATGTACAAGCTCAGAATAAACTGCTCAGATGGGTGATGCCAAAAGGACAAACAAATGAGAGCAACTGATTAATCCTCCTTTCAGTTCTGCTATGAAGGCACATTATTTGTTGCCTGTTTTTATACAAGGCTATAAATAACAACAGGTTAAACCAAAATGTTTAAATATTAGTCTGTGAGCAGGGGAAGGTGCTACAAAATCTTAGTATCTGACACATTTAAATGAAGGACCAAACTAACTCTGATAACTGAAAATTAAATTTTTGAATGACACTGAAACACATATGCACTTTATCTTTACTAAGTGTTYTTAATATGTATTTGATTTAGCTATGTATGTAAGTTTTATTTTACTGTTGTGCCTGAGGACTTAAAATGCTAAACTTCTTTCATTTTCGACTTACAGCTTTTCTGGAACTTTCTGGCAACATRTTTYAGAAYYTGGRAGCCCCACAATATGCTGCAAWTATTTTTAACAGTTCATTTCACACTGAACTGTAACAACTTTTTTGCAGRTAARTGATCACTTAATTTTAATAATTTASCAAGCTKTAAAYGATGAAAAAATTCAGAAATATAAGCATCTTTGATTAACAGCAATGTTGTCTCACAAGTTTCAGACACTTTCAGTTATGTTGTTTTCTTGAGATGAAGATAAATATAAGAATGGAAGTCTCTGGAATGGAATTGATGTAGAAGAGATGATCACTTTATATTTTCCAGAATTGCATTTTTCTCAATAAACTCACCATTTGGATACGGGGTTTCACAAAGAGTTAAAAAATCAACTATGGGATGATCCATTTCAAGAACTGTAATTGCTTTCCCATGCATGATTGTTAAACTTGGTCTTCGACAAGGCTTATCATAGGACAATCCACCAGAAAATATCACAAATGGTTCACTGTATTAAAAAAAACAACATAATAACTGTAAGTCTACATAATACATACAAGTTTACATCATAGGTTTAGTATCTTCATAAAATAATACATAATTTTGTAAAAAGAAAGCAGGAAAATATTCTGAAAGGACTTAAATTCAGGATTGTAATATTGACTTAAWTATAGAAYTAAAAACAAACCTGTTTTTACAGGTCTTGTACTCTACTTTAAGAATTGGTTTACACGACTCAGGTTTTTTTCCATCTCTTTGAACTTTTCCTAAAGAAAGAAAGAACAGAAAACATCATGATGATAGAACTATCAAACTAAAACATATACATTGAAACAACTGTATATGTAAACAACAAAAATAAAAGGAACTTCAAAGATTCAAAAAGATAAGGAGTATTAGGTCCTATTTCCATAAAACACACGTTTGTCTAAATTAATTACATGATGATGTCTTTGTGTTTTTACTGCCAGATACAGCTAAAGGACCATAGACCATTCTTCAGAGGTATCTATAAACCATGAAGATTTCTGAGCATGACACTTAATTAATAATGAATGAATTAGACTAATTACATGTCTTTTTTTCTCAATATGCAATGACCATAAACAGATTAATTTTTTCCTAAGCTGTTCTTAGATTGACTTAATTCCTTTTGTTGACAAAATATTACATGCTTTGGAGTGTAACTAGTCAAGTTATAAAATTAAATGAAGCATACAACTCAAAAAAAGACATTAGGGTAATATTAATCAGAAAGAGCTATTTATGACACAAATCAAATTAAAAAGTTTTATCTAAGTTACTGATTTTTACAACAATTTGCATTGCTGCTACTTTGCAGATCAAAATATTTATGCAAGAAGCAACATCTGGGCTACAATGAAAAATGAAATAAACATMTTTTAGCAAATAGCATTGAGAACCCTGTATGGTTCCTTAGTTACACATTTTAAGTGTCAGAATTACCGTGTGGAATTGTGGTCTGGAATGGTCTGTTAGGGCTTTTCAGATTCCATAGGGTCAARCTGCCATCAGAGTGACTACACATGAACTGTTTCCCTTCATGATGCCAAGCAACAGAATGAATAGCCTACAGAAACAAARGAAGAACATGAGACTGGAATGGAATGCAGTGTTCACACTAATGATATTTTAATGAATGAGTTCATATTATATTATTTTAAAGGTATATTGACAGTTGGATGGTTCTTGTTTGTCTAAGGTCCATGAGCATCACCTTTTAGCAACCAATGGCTGTTATCCAYATTCCATCATAAAGGTTGATATATCATAAGACTGTCAGAAAACCTGWACTGAATCAGGCCAAAATTGAAGGAAAAGGGTATTAAGGTAAAAATATAAGTGACATACAATGCAGTTGTGATATGTCTGATAGCTCTCCTTAGATATATTTGATCTGGTAAATTTACAGGTAATTCTGTGCAAAAATCATTACAGGTAACATACAAAACACACAGAGGAAGTAATACACTGTTCTTGGATAATTTCCACATACACTCTCACATATGTAAGGTGCAGAGTAACTCCATCTTGCTTGGGATATTTAATGTCAAAACCAAAACACTAAAGAATCMAGGACYGTTTCATTGATATAGGAAATTACCAAAGCAATGATATAAGATARTTTTGGAACAGATAGTGCAYCAGAKATGAGGAATAYCACACTCCCAAGTMCACACTACAAGTACTACATGATGAATATTACATAGACCATTCTTAGTATTTTGTGTATACTTAGTGGAACTGACTGAAAATGTCCATAGTTACATCAAACTAGCTGAAAGGATAATGGTGTAAGTCCTTTGATGTCACTGGTATGTGCTAGAAATTAAAAAAAGCCATTTTCTGACAGAACATTCATTATATACAACGTTTTCAGTTTCTCACAGTTCCTCACACACTCCCCTCAAAAGCACAAACTCACAGAATTCTCCCTTGAATCCATGTCCCTTCCAGAAATGTTCACTGCTAAATAGCAAAAATCACAATATAATTTTATGTAAATGTGAATAAAAGAGGTCTATTTTCTTTTCAACCCCGGAAATGCTAAGGCCTTGCATGCACTTMCAATTGCATATAGCCTTTAACCTGATTTATTCAAATGACTTAAAATCATGCCTGGGTATTCATAAGTCAGCATTGCAGCTGCTAATATCAATTTTGCTTAAGTGCTACAGGTCACTATTTTAAACTCCCAGTTGGTTTTCCTCTTTTAATAGTTCTATTGATTGTTATGGTTGGTTATAGCTCATGGTCTGGAGAGAGCATCAGAAGAAATCAAGAAAAGGGCTGTGACCCTTTACAAATGCTTTACTCATCTCCTGGGGCTGGACAGCAGAGCTGCAAGTGAGGTTTTACACCAAGATGATCCAGATGTTTTAACAGGAATCTGATGTGCCATGTTTATGAATTCTTGACTAACACACGAGTAAAATAGTTGTGCCAAAAAGGATTCAAAAACCAGAAATAAAAAAAATTTGAAATCTAGGTATTTCTTTTTTGGTGATATAATGGGTGTAACTTCTACCTTTAGAGTGGGGGGTTGGTGTACAATTCCTCTTAAATAACCACAAGAAACTAAACTATAACTGAAGTAACAAAAGAACACAGAAAGGTACTTCAGGCACAGTCCAAAGTTGCTGCCCTCAGGTAGGAAGGACCTTATTTCTTATTTCACTTACATTAAAGACATGTCTATCCTCATGCAAATGAATTCTGACATGAGCTATTTCTGCTTGCTATCATGCCAGATTTGGATCTGTTTTTGATGTGCTACTACACTGAGAAACATTTCACATGGTTGCAGTTACTGACTGTGTCTGAGCAGGAGCTCAGGTAAAAACTGTACTGAGCTGCTTGGTTAACTGCAGATCAAAATCTCTGTGACCACAGCATAAACCTCCTGTGGAAGGGAGCTCAGGGGGATGATCCTGGCATAGCAGCAACTCAAACTGACCCATTAGACTGTGCCCCAAAATGGGCAAAATAAACAGAAACGCTTTTGGAGGTCTCAGCTGTGAGAMATGAGTAATTCTGAAAGACGGTCCTGAACAAGTCCCAAATTTTCWCTGCTAAAATATGTCTAGCATTCTGATCCACYTCTTTAGCATCTMCAGAGAACAAAAGGAGCAGTTATTTGGTTAGGACAGGAGTTCATCCTGGTGGGTGAATCGTGCATCTCACCACAGATTGGACACGTTTCTCCTTCTGCAAGACCCACGGTAGTTGCACACACATTCCATCTTCTCTCATACTCAGCATGTACTAAAATTAAACATGCCTAAAATCATTTCAGCTCCTTCCCAACCACAAACCTTCTCCACCGAGGGTCTTTAGCACCACTTTCAACTGTATTTTGAACAAGAACAATGCTCGTCTCATTTTAGTGTTTGAATGCTAAAAATCCTTTGTGTTCATGGTTCTGCAGGACTATTTCAGCAAGGGCCACATCTGAATGGATATTCCCACAGCAGCACAGTGCTATTTGAAGGTAGGGAGATGTCACTTGGGAAATGACACCTGGCAAATGTCTCTGAGAAATCTGCACTTTATTTTGGAGATGTGTTCCAATGAAAGATGATGACTGCTTCAGGCAGCTCTGAATGAGGGTTGACACAAAATTTCAAAGCCTGCACGTGAAGATGGCTGCTTTTTTGGGTCTGACAACTATCAGTAACAACTTGWGAGCCATTTGAAAGATCTGCTTTGTTTAGGTGCTGTTTTTTTATGCCACTCGATGGAAAATTAAYTTTTGAAGGAAATTATAAAAGGGTTTGGAAGGAAAGCTTTTTATAGAAGGCATTGTGTAGGAGCATTGACTGGAAGGGCCTCAATAATACGTCTCACCTGAGAAGATGAAAATCACAATAATGGTAGAAAAAGTGAGGATGAATTAATTTTATYCAGAATTTGAGCAAACAGGCAGTTTGGCACTTAATGAGGATACGGAACAGTTAGAGTGATTTATCTGAGACTTCACAGATACCCTGCAGCTGATGGTGTTGTGGCTCAGGGCCAGGGAAATACTGAGAGATTGCTCAGACATTGTGGGGCACAGAGGTTTTACATCATCCAAATGGCATCGAGAAGGGGAGCAGAAACAATGATTTCTGAACTGTGGTCTTTGGTGGCCAATCCATAAGATGAGGCTTAGGCTTGACAATTTGGGTTGCTGCTAAATACCAAGTGGTGCATGCCAATATATATGCCATGACTCACATAACTCTATATAATTCAGAATTTAAAAAAATGAACCCTTTTTAGTGGCTCCCTAAGGGAATCCCAGCRGGTCTGGAACATGCAGCCTGAATGTCTGGAATAAAGTAAAATGGCTAGTCCCACAATCCTTTTAAAAACAAAGAATCTTGCAAGTATTTCAGTAAATAAGAAGCCAGCACAAGTGGCACAAAGTGGAGCAATGACACAGCAAATAACTTCCGAAGAGAAAGGTTACTGTTTAAAAGGCAAAAAAAAAATCCTGAGAACAGTATTGGAAAAAGTGGAACAATTAAATTGGATGAGAAATTTTCAAGACCCACCTATTCTGTCTCAAAATGGAAAAAAAACCCAAAAAAACCCAAAACAAAACAAACCACCAAACCAAGGAACCAGTATTAGGAAGATCCTGCTTTATGTTGTCTCATTTGAGTACAAGAGAGGACAGTGGGTGAACAGACATCCCCCCAACCCTTCCTGAGGAGTAAAAGTGAAAAATTGTTCAGTCTTAAGCAACAGAACGGGTGCAATTTCCCAAATGTTTGCACAAACAGACAGTCACTGAGAGACAATTTAGTGGGCATGTCTTGAGGCTTAAGTACTGGCCTATTCAAACTCTGTCCTTTAAAACATTTGCAATGTTGATGCTTAGAAACTTAACCTTGAAGCTCGGAGTAGTTTTAATGTGTCTCTGACAGCAGGTCTGAAAGATTGCAGGATTCATATGTATTCAGATTGCTTTTCAGAGGGGAAATAAATAACTCCTTATACATAGAAAGGTGACAAGAYGAAGAAGAAAAAAGAACTACAGGAAACCAATTACTGCCTTGATCACTTTAAAGAAAAYGTCCTTTTCTACCTTCAGTTGTAGTTGCATTCACATTCATCCATGGTGAACTTTAGAGCACTGGCAGAACAAAGAGTRTTTTTTCTTAGGGCTAGTGCTAAAATCATAAGAACTAGGAAAATATCTGTTTTTCAAGCAGCTTATTATTCATCCAAGAACTGCATCTATGGTTAACAACATATGGTTAAGATGCTTACAAAGGACAGGAGACAACTGTGTGATAACTATGACAATATAATTTTGCAAACTATTTMATCAGATCAGTACTAGGTATTATCAACAGCTGTACAAGGTAATTTGTCTTCCATTATAATGAATGTTCTRGAAATACCTGATAAAGGTTATTATATAATTTCTATTGCAACTTTATCTTAGGTCAGTTATTGCTAAAATCAGTTTGACTGAAGATGCTCCCAGAGAAGTTGATGAACTTGTCAGAATCAAGGGGAAGAGATTCAGTGTCACACAGTACATTCATGAGAGCCTAATACATCAGAACTAGAGATTTCAGACTTTGATTTCTATTGTCAGTATAATTCACTCAAAAGCATAGCACAAACAGCATTTCCAAAACCAGCAGTGTCTTTAGATAAACTTCCATCTGTTTGGTAAGACATATGGCAAACTGCTGAATAGTGGCTTTCCTGAATTAATGGAAATTGCTTACCTCATCATAATAAGCCCTCAGATCAGCTCTTTTAGATCGTAAATCCCAGAACACAATAGTCCCATTTTCATAGCCTATCAACAGCTGAAGGAGAGAAAAAAACCCACAATTACATTGTCTGATTCAAAAGATACATGTAAGTATTGAATAACATTAAAAAAATACCAAAGTGATATGCAAGTTTGTAATTTGCCCTATGCATGATATGTTGCTTTCAAATTGTCTTTCAGTATAAATTACTTCATATTACTCACAATTTAAGATCTGATATGGAAAAAGAAAGGGATTTATACACTTTTTTTTTTGCCCTGCAAGATTATGTGCCTGAACAATCTTTAATTGCATTTCTCCTGAGCAAATAAGATTGTAGCATGTTCCTACCAGCTCTTACCTTCCATGTCCCTTGTTGGAGAAAAAAACATTTGACACCTAAGAAACCACTTAAATAAATTCAAACCAAAGAGTCACCAGATTAAAGTGTGATTCAGCTACTTGTATTCCTTTAATTTATGCTTGCTATTGCTTTAAAACATTATTAAGAAATCCTCCTGCAGAAATAAATTGTTTGCTTTCCTAATAATTAAATAATTGATACGCCAATTTTCACTTCTTCTAGAACTGGGATGTCATATCATCATCATGCACACCAGAGAAATACCAGCAAAGTTTTGTGAAAAGATAAAAGAGGAGAAAAACAATGCTCAGGAAAAAATAGTAGTGAACACAGTAATTTCTCCTTGTCTTCATTAAAAAGAAATGAAATATTGATCTGGCACTGTAGAGTTACTCTTCACTTGAACACAATTCATTTCAGATCTTATGGGCAATGTGATGTTTAGCYTGTTTAGGTGTCCTGGAAACTGTTTCCCATAGATTTTGTCTTCTTAAGAATCTGTTCTGGACATGAAGACTGGAAATAGCTAAACTGGCAGACTTGTGTTTCTGCGATAGAATATTTCATACAACTGGCAGTGATAATAGCAGTTGTTCCTCATCTATAAACAGATATATCACACAAGAATTTACAGTTTCTATATAAAGAATTTGTACAGAAGAATGACAAGATTATCTCTTCGTTGGACAGCATCTCTGTGATTGCTCACTTTAGCTTGCATGAGTCCTAAAAAYGAAATTTGGCAGGGCTTCTAAACAAAACATTACTTTCTTGCCAAGTTGGGTATAACTGATGCATCAATACTGCTACAAAAAGCCTGGGAATACTCTCAGTTCTACTGGGTATGATTCTTTTCATTGTCAGGAAAATATTCTTTATGTGGAATCTATTAGTTAATCAGGAMATTATTTATTGCTAATATATTTAATACCTGAATATGAACAATAATTAATCATGCTCCTGAAGAATGATGCTCCTGGAAAAAAAAATTCAAACTGTCCTGGAGAAATTCCAGAATATTTAGCATTTTTGCTCTGGATGGTTCCAGATATAAATATATATCCCATATGGGATTTTGTGGCAGATCAGAAAGCATGGAGCTAACTGGGTAGCACTTAAGTCAGGATGCCATATGGGATAGGCTGCTATTGAGAGAGTGAACAAGGAGTGTTTTACTACAGTTGGGACAGTGATCCTAAATGGAAGTCATTTGGATATCCAGGAGTTAGTGATGCTCACAGCAGTTAATGTGAGTAGGTGCAGGTCTGTGCTGTGTTGGGCTGCACACAGCACTTGGCTTTCAGGCCTGCATTGAGCTGCACATATTCCTTGGCCACAGGATAAATCTAATTCTAAAGGATCCTGCAGGCTGCTTCCACTTGGTAAGAAAAAGTACTGCAGTATGTCTCATGTGAGCATCCTTTTGCTGGACAGTAGAAATGTCCTCTCCACAGAGGACAGTGCCATGCCTTTACTGGAGGTTCATTTGATGYTGCACAGCTTGGGGTTCCCAGCATCCTTTTTGTATTAACTCCAATAAATAGTATTTTAATATGTTATGAAGTCTGAGTGACCTCCTTACAGTCACCATAACTTGCACCTGTGCATTACAGCTGGGTACCAAACCAGTGGAAAAATTCTTTTCACCTCAGCTTTTGTGAAAATACATTCAGGAAAGTGAAGGGATTTAAAAGCATTTAGTATGTGACCTTGTTTCTTAATAAGCCTTTCTCCCTGGGGAAGCAGGCTTGTCTTTTGATTTTTATCCCTCTCTTTTGCAAATATATTATGCTCCAGGTAATTGGTAAAAGGTTAAATACCTTTTATCAGAGGCCGCATTTCACCTGATCTATTGCTGAAATGTTTAATGCACAACTGCACTGTAGAATTGCAAGTTACAAAGAATTGTGATGAAATTAAAAGGCAAAGAGATTTTCTGCATTTTCTCTTTTGATTCAAACTGAATCAACAGATTCATGCTGTTTTACTATTAACACTGTGGTACAGCACTGAAGTTGCAATTCCAAGTGGATGAATGGGATTAGTTCATTGCCAGGATATTTATGATGCTCTGGATTTTGACCTTCCTGAACCATAGGAAACTCAAACATTCCCACTCCTCTCAGTCACACTGATCACTTGGGGATCTATAAAACAAGCTCTATTTCTGTAATAGAGGTAAAAAGTAAAACATCCATAAATGCAGTTAGAGAGGAAAACATAGACAAAGAAAAATGGTATCTGTAAAAAGATTCCAGGATGGAAAAAGCTCAGAAGATTTCTCTTCAGCTTTGTTTTGTGGCACCTCGTTTAATTACTCATGCTTAATTAGGTGACAAAAAATTTAGAACACTGGACAGAATTTGGAGAGAGAAGTCCTGGCAACTCCTTGCCTAGTGGGGTTGCTTCACATTTGACTTAAATCTTTCTTCATTTAATGCTTTTGATGATGATACATTTCTTTTGTACAATCAACTAATTACATCTTGGTACATTCCAGCAAGACCCTGCCTTGTTCTGGTAATAAAAACATCTAGAGAAAAACCCCCAAACAAACAAGCCTGCTGTATTATTAGATCTCAGAAGACAGAAAGCTTARCYCACCAGCTAATAGTTAATAACATTAAACCTTTTCCTGTTAAGCTTCCTCCCTTTGCTGGGAAACTGCAGATCACTGCAGTTAATGTCCTTTCCTTTGTAAGCAAGAAAAATCATGTTTGCTACAGATCTGCTACTTAGAAATGTCTGTGCACTTCAGTCTGTCCCTCATGTACACTTATTAAATGATTTGGCAGACACAGCTCTATTTCATGAACTTAATCACTAGATCCCCAAATTGTTCTTCAGTGACACATTAAATGCCCAAATTCYCTTTGATGTCTGTATTCCAGCCACAGCTTGTTAGATTTATAAAAGAGACTCATCTCCAAAGTTTGCCTACATAGTTTGCCTGGAGGGCACTCTGGAAAAGTTTTGAATGGCAGAAGTCTTCTGGAATTACATTCACTCTTTTGGCACAAGGAATCCAATCACCASTCATTGATATAAACTGGAACTTTTAGGAATTCAAAGGACCTTARTGAAAAAGGTGAAGATACTGCCCATGCACAAACTTCCCTGGCTTTCAAAAAGAGATCTTATGGTTGTCCTAGATTTTGAAAGGTCTGACTGTGTCTTAGGACTCTCAACCACTCCGTGATCATCGGAGAAATAATTATTTACTTCAACAAAACAGATTCAGGTCTATACACAACTTTGTAATAYCTCCAAGAAGGATATACTACTGGACCCTTGCAAAGTACTTGTAGAGGAATACTCCTGTAGAGTACAAGAACATCTGTATTTTGAGTAATGATTATGACTGATTTGTATCTACTATTTAATTCCTGAAATATAGGTAAACAACACTTTGATCTGTTGCCTATCATGAAACAATGTGGGGAGTCCGAATTCTCCCACCAATACTTTTGGGTGGTCTTTGGTTAACTTGGAGCAAAGTAKGTGGACCTATCTTCAAACAGCTCTTTTATTTCAGAATAACTCTGCTAAACTAAATAAAAAGTCTRCCTATCACAGTTTCTTGTTCTGAAACAGCCAAGAACAAATACCATAGAACAATATGGGAAGAGGAACAAGTACTTGTAACACTCTCACAAATTCTCTCAGTCTAAGTAATTTTCTCATTCAAATCTATAGCCATCTCCTCAACTATACATGGCTCTGTTTAACCACATCTTTAAGAACCTTTTAGGAGAATTCAGCAAACCTCTTCAATTACCCTCAAACTGATTTCTTTTGTGATAACTTTCCTAGTCTTCCTTGTGATCAATACATTTTCAGCACACACAACAGCATTTGGTAATGTTTTATAGGTTCTACCCATTGCATATTTGAAGAAGTACCTATTTGACTTATTGGAATCTGACCTGTCAGATTTGGTATCCTTTTGGTATCCTTTTCAGCTGTGTATGGAAAGAGACTGTGAGCTGTTTCCTTCCTCTTAACAGCAACTGTGACTTTCAAACTTGGAATCACAATCAGGTCTTTTCCATAGCAACTTTTCCCATCTCTCATACAGAAAATCCTGCCCCTATGAATTTCTTTTAGTATTATGTTCATTTTAAACATTGGATAAGTATTATACTCAGTATTCAGCAGGCAGGTCATCAATGCATTTCTTTAATAGCTTTGTTTTATACTCTATTCTTCTCCAGATAATGCCTAATTTTTATTTTCTTTATTGTTCACTATTGAGCATTGAGYTGACATTTCCATAGAACTATCAATTATCATCACTCACAGCCCTTCATACCAAACARTAATCATCAGCTCAGACACATTGTTTTATACATAAAGTCAGAAATATTTTGCCCTACACATATCACTTCTCATCACTGACATGAAAAAATTAAATACTTACAGAAGACAGTATTTAATCTGCCATTTTACTGCTGAATTTCTCAGCCTCCTGAAGTCCTGCAAACCACACCACTGCTGACACTCATTTCTAGGCTATTTATGACCCTGTTGAATAGCAAAAGTCCCAGGAGCTGATTTTTTTTTTTTTTGTTTTGTTTTGGTTTTTTTTTTTCATTTTTTTCCTCATTTAATTTAATGCCTGGATTTTCTCTTACATCTCTGTGTACCTTTTACTGATACCTTCCTGTAAACAYTATCAATTCTACATCCTGCAAAACTGCAAGTATTTTGTTAGCACCAATTTGTTCTTTACACCACTCTCAACCTATCAATGATATAAAGAATTGCACTGGGATGGTTTCAGGAGAGTTTATGTTTTCTGCTCTTTCTCCCCATAAATTTCCAATGTTTGTTTTTCATAGGTATCTGATTTTTCTGTTGTTGTTAGAATTCTAGTACTTCATCAGTGCCCAGATGTCTCCCATGTGCCCTCTGAACAACAAGCATTTGTATTTCCAAGCCACTTCTCCTTTTACTCCCTTGCCTGTGTCTTTTTCATCTCCTTTCTTTCTGCTGAAAAATATTTTTAGGTTTCTGTCTGAACACAGTGCATGGGATTCCTGTAAAAAATCTTCACTGACAAGACCATTATTTGTTTTAGCATGCTTCTCCCCAACACTGTGTGCTTTAGCAGCTTCATCAGCAGCTTCTGTTGTGACCAGCAAACAAGAACAATGCCTCATGAATAAACCTTTAGTTTTATCAGGTATTTTGCCATAGATGATTAAATTGACTTTCTTGATGGCTTCTTGTTTGAGGCTAAAACATGACACTTCATAATGCTGAATAACTTTATTTGATAGCATTCTAAATTGTTTGAGCTATTGTGACTCTTCCAGAAACACTCAGAGATGCCATTAAAGTTGCTGAAGTTGTAGTTCACAAGTGCACCATTCATACATAGTTCACCTTGCAACACAGATAAGTCCAAGGACAAGTGATGCAAATGAAAATCAGATATCAGATGTAGTTATCAGTGCTTTTCTAGGTATCCATACTTTCAACAAAATATCCTCCACATCAGTAACAGAAATCCAAAGTGCTGCTCATTTCTAACAACCATCAGCTGTTATGTGAGGCACACTGTCAGCTGCACCATTTRTAAAATGCAGTTTACAAACACACACTAAAATGCAATTGCTAAAAATGATTAAAACCAATGAGAGAGTTAAATACCCCTTCCATACAGGCAAAATGCTCAAAAATCAGTAACAAYRMATAAGTAAAAATGTYCTAATAGAACCWGWATTCTGTCAAYSACATTTCATTTTTGAAAATTGCCATAAAAATAAAGCCAACTCTGATTATTGTGCCTCCTGCTGATATCAGTCACAACCCTAATGGTCTCAMTAAATGTTTGGCTTCCACTTGTGGACAGCTCTTCATGAACAGAGACAAGAAGAGCAAACAGCAGCCAATTCCAAGGGTTATTATCATGAKGATTCTTGAGTAAGAAACAACTTGCTATCTTATGAAAACTTACTATAATGCCCTTGTAAGAGCATGCTTATCCAAGTACTGAAGTCATGAAGCAGTTTTTAGTAAATTCTTACCTACACAAAATCAAACTTTTTAATCAGGAACAATTTAGACGTCTATATATTTTAAAGTACAGTATGTGGTCTGTATCACAAATGTTTACTCATTAAATTTGTAYAAAGATAATTTTTTCTTGAAAACTTCACTGTAGTTAAAGCAACTTTGCAAACACAGAAATAAAGCAGATGATAAAATTAGTGAATAAGCAAAAGGAAAGAGTAGCAAGGCAAATAAAGGCTATGAAATGTTGAAATATTTTATACCATTGGTTGTACTCACTTTTCCCTCGTCTCTTGGGCTGTCACTTAAATGTACAACTGGGCCAGGGTGAGTCTTGGTRGATCTGCAAGACAAAAATAAATTAAAATCTGTGAATGTTTTTCGTTGYATGAAGAGCTAGACACCTCAGTTTCTAGGTGTGTAAACACATACCTCCAATGGTTTAAGTATAATGGTAAAAAGACCAGACGAGGAAGGTAAAGTTATCTTTTCATGTTCTCCTCTATTTCATTTTTGCCATTATAGGCAAAGAATTATTGTTTTTAATCTCACTATTCCTCCTATAATAGTAATTTTCCCTTCTGTCATTCTTATGGCTTTTTTGCCTTTTCTATTCTCTACTCCCATCTCCTTCTGACCCTCTCTCCTTACCTGTCCCATTTCAAGGCTAATTTRCCAAGGGTTTACAGTCTTCACTGGATTAATTTGAGATACCAYAGCATGACTCACCAATTTCCAATCTCCCTAAAGAAAGGATTTCAGTAACCTCACCCACCCTGCCTTGTCAGGAAACTTCTTATCATTACTGCAGTGAGGTTTCAGAAATGGAGCATCTTGCCTTTGTCTGATCTGTAATGCCTTATCACATCTTCAGATCAACTAATACATTTACACTGACAATGCATGTTCAGTTAGGCTCCTCAGCCACAACACCCATCCTGAGTCCTTGTAAAGATGACAAATTAGCCCTTTATAAAGACTAATTACTATTCTTGACATCCCCTCCCTTTTTGCAACATGTACCAAGAGTGCAGTCTGCAACTTAGTACTGAAGTTATTCATGTCAGCACCTGACAGCAAATGTAAATCACAACAAACTGATTGGGCAGGTGGAGATTTTTCACTTATCATCTTTTCTGAGCAGACCTTCAGGTCCTGGTAGTTATAGAGAGTAAGAAGACAAGCATCAGTTCACACTGAATGCCTGCAGRGAGAAGGACCTTTCTCCTGTCTAGGTACAGGTCCCTTGGAGTTCAGCTTATGATCTAAACTTGTATGACCAGTCTTGGCTCACCAAAGGTCACCAGGAAAAAAAATATGGCAGAGATTGGAAGAGGCCATAAAGTGAAGATTTTATCTGGAAGCCATCCATGAAATGACACAGGCTCCAAGTTTTAAAACTATCTGCAAGAGAATAGCAGAAACACACAAAACAAGGTTCTACGGCCAAAATGCCCAAAGGATTTTCCAAAAATAATGGTTTCTTCCTTTGGCTGAAATACTGCACTGTTGCAAAACTGGCTCTATTCTACAGATTAGACTCYAAATCAAGACTGAGGGTGGTACACAAAAATTCCCAGGCAACTCATCCATTAAAACACTGTGGACTGATCTATAGCCTCATGGGCTCCTCCTTCCCAAAACAGCATGCTCCAACACTCTTAAAAGCACACACACTTTTCTCTGGCCTCTATATTTTCCCTGCATTGTGTTTTAAATATTGTAACTATTTTAAATATTGTAACTATTTTAAATATTGTAACTATTTGTCATGCACCAAAGCTGGGTCAAAGCAGAGAGGCAAAGATCTTGTCTGATATTTATTTTGGGGCTAAGGACAATGAAAAATTATTCCGGACATCCTGCACATCCAGCATGCTGTTTTCCTACATCAGGTCTCCATGAGCAAAAGGATCCTTTTCAAATAATTGAAATTCAAATAATTCAAATAATATTTGAATAAATAATATAAAAATTATTATTTCAAATAATTCAAATTTCAAAGGATCCTTTTCAAACTAATTTCACATGTGCCATCACAGATAAGATCACACATAGATGACAACAGATGTTCCTGAAGTTTTCTGGAAGTGTGCTATTCCCTAGCAGTCCTCCTGCACTGCCTTTCCAGGGCTCTCAGAAACTTAATTTTTTATACACAGCAAGGGAAATATTTGCATCAAAACTGATTTCTCTTTGGACTACATAACAAGGAATATTCACAAGATGCAGCATGAACTTTGGTGTTTGGTTTTGGATAAACATGCATAGGGAAGATCATGAACATGCTTAGGGAAGATGTTTGTAGTAGGATAAACCAGCACAAAATAATCCCAGTTCTGGTGGAGCAAGGAAGAAAACTGTGAAAGCATTGCAACTTCCTTTATTCTGCAAGACCTTTTGCTTGTTGATCTGAGCCTGCCTGACTGCTGGATACAGAAGGAGAGATATGATAAAGCTTCTCTGGTTTGCTTCTTCTGGTACAGGACTGGGGCAAGGAACCCAAACCCAGTCCTTTTTGCCACACTAAGACAAAGAACTGTCTGCCAAAGGCAGATCAGTGCCTCACTTCTTGCA